TGGAACACAAGCACAGCGTGGACCACCCCAGTGCAGCACCCAGTAAAACAGCTATAATACGTATCACTGCTGTGCAGACCACAGGACTTTTAGGCTGCTGATCCCAAATACGCTGCCAAAAAGGCAAGGAAGCTACACTTACCTCTGCAACAACCCTCCCAGATCCCATCTCACATGGTGTGTGTCCCCTGCCCAGCCCCATGAAGCTAGCTGTAACTGGGGATAAAATCACATATTTGGGGAAAACTCCATCAAAAACAAGCATAGCAGCTTTTCTGCCCATCCACACAGCTACCAAAAGCACACCACCCCCATGCCCTCTACACAAGAGCAGCCTCTCTGAGCCACAGTCCCCTCCAGACCCAGCTCTCCATAGGATGGATTCCAGGACCTGCTGACACATCCTGCTCCAGGACCACCACCTCTTAGAGCCACGACATTTGGCAGGAATCACAAAACCTCCAGGGGAGGTTCACAAGTGCAGGAAATGCAAACGTCACAGGTGCTCGACACGAGCCCTACAATTCCCTGCCAAGGAACAAGCACAAACGGAAGCTTTCGCTGTCTTTGGGGGAGAGAAGAAAACCCTTTCCGTGGGGCAGCTTCTCACTTGCAAGTTCTTCATGCAGACAGGCTGCCCTCATCCCTACTCTGTACCACCCCCACACACAGTTGCACTGAAGTAGCCACACACACACACTCTGCTTTGCTCCACTCATCCCACCATTACGCATCCCCACACGGGAAAATCTGGTGTGCAACCTCCATCACCACCCCCTTGCACACCCATACCGCTTATCCTGCATGGAGAGGGTCTCTGCTTAGCTGCCAACATCTCCAGAAGTAAACTTTTCCAAGGAAAGCCTCACCAAGAGCTCACAAGTGCTCTTATGGCAGAGTTTAAGTTACCTAATGACCTTAACATGGATAATGGGATGCCAGTGTAAAACACCTGATAGCAATATTGGCCACAGACAGTGAAATGCATTCCTTAGCAACTCTCAGCTCCGTTCCTAGAGCTCCCACCTGATTTTAATCCCTCCAAGCCTCTCTCAGTGCAGCTGGAAAAGACTCTCTGTGGTCCCACCCTGATGATAGTATTGGCAGAGGGTCAACTGGGAGCATTATGTACCCCGTGAGGAGGGTCTCCTCCCTTAACCGCTGCTTTTAGAAGCTGTACCACATGATGTGTCAAGATGGAGGGTTTCCTACCACACACACTGCAGTCTCTTCACCAGGTTTTCAGTGAAGATGTGGTGTGGTAGGACAGGCTGGAGAGCTGTCATCACTAGTCTCTTGATGCAGTGAAGCAATCTGCATTGTGGCTTCAGGCAGAAGGTAAAGCAGAAAGAAAAGATGTTTCTCCACTGCTTAGAATAAGAAGCGGGGCACTATTTTGTTTCCTCAGGATGGGAATTCCTAGAAGGGATTTTACAGTTCATACTTGTATCTTGGGAAGCTCAGTTACACTTAACACTTCATGTAAATACAGGAGGGGACAGTTTTTCACATATTTCTATTGACCTGTACGAATCCCTCTTCCATTGGGCTTAACAGGCTTTACTTAATAATGGTGCGGAAACTTGCGGATATCCATGCTCTTAAAGCACACATGCAGTACATTAACCCTGCCCAAACTGGCACCACAGATGGAGGGATTCAGATTTAACCTATCAAAGCTTTGTCTGCTGCTACCTTGCAGCCCACAAGCTCACCCCCTAAAACCTGCATGCATGTTGTGTCTCCACAGCTTTGGGCAGCTCCTCGTACCTCACCTGCTGCCAACTCAACGCCACACATTCACCCCTCAGGTCCAAAATCACCTTGCTGTCACCTGGATATTTCTCCTCAGGGTCGCAAAGGAGCCTGCTGTAAGAATTGCAACTTCTACTCCAGCTGATGCAAGCCATAAAAGAACCACTGCATGCTCCACCTAACTCAGCTGGGAA